ATTTTTGTTTTATTTTATTTTATTTTTGTTATTATTTTTGTTATTATTTCTTTTTTTAGGTCCGTTGGGTCCAAAATTCGGATCCAGAATACAGCCTAATCGGGTAAGCCTAACCCAACAGACATGGCAAGCTCGAGTGGGCTTGACCCAACCTAAAGTATTAGTGTTTTACATTTAACCAAGGGCGCTACAAGAAAAGAAAACGGTTGTGCGCATGGAGGCCACACACCAACGAGTTGGCCGAGATTTTCAGTCGAACGCCCGAGACTGAATCATCACGGGATTTTCGGCCCAATGATGACCTCAACAGAACGTGAACAGGTCGGAAACACAACCCCTTGAAGATCGGGGATGACCCTGAGATAATCGGGGCCCAAACGGGCGATCGAAGGCTATAAAAGTCTCGTCAGGGAGAGATCGAGAACAATACCGAGGAGGCATCACCGAAAAAATTAAAACACCAACCAAGCAACAAATAAACACAAGCAATATCAGCAAAACACACAAAAAACCGAAACACCAAAAGCAATTAGAGTAAAAAAATAATGTTCGAAGCAGAAAAGCAAGGATATCATCGGTTGCGTGGGAATAGGTAAGGTCGGGGGAAGCCATGGATCACTGGAAAAAAGAAGGTCTTCGCCAAAAAAGGTATAACCCGAAACTCGTCTTTAGATCTACGCTGAGCGGGATATTTTTTTCGAACTTTGGGCTTCGATTTCGTGTTCCTGGGGTCGAGAGGAGCATGTTTGTGTTGTTAGAATTTTTTTCGGCCGCCGCGTGACGGTCGGTGGTGGTCCGGACGGTTAGCTACGACGAAGGGAAGGTTGGTGTTCGGTCGGACAGTGTTTTTGAGAGTTTTTTTGCTTTTTTTTCTAAGTTTGGTTTAAAATGTATTTTGGATTTTTTTGGGTATTTATATTTGAGGGATTGATTTGTAAATATGAAATAGTTAAATTATTTCTGCAGTCTCTAATATTTTGATGTGTAATTCATTTTGGTCATCATATGCAATTTTGCCCTCAAATTTTTAATTTATTCAATTTAATCATCATTTATATTTTGCAAATTGGCCACTTAATTTTTTATTTTTTTATTGCAGCGCCAAATTAACTTTAATTTGACCTCCAATTCCTCGTATTTTCCAATTTAACCTTTTAAATTTATTTTTTTATTCAGGCCCTAATTTTTTCCTTTTTATTATTTCATTTTATTATTTAACTTTCATTTGGCTTTGCTTATTTAGGACAAATTTAAAATCGATCAAATGTAAGTAATTCGAATCGAATCCTTAAATTTCAATTTAACTTTTAATTTTCGCAATTAAGGAAACCAAGAAATTAAATTAGTACCGAAAGGACAGTACAAGGGTGTTAATTTTTCATTGACTATAACTGACTCCCGAATTCGACATATTTCTTGTAAAACACATATCAGTTAAGATGATAAATTGAGGTGATCGGTCAACCTAATTATTTTAAATATATATATATATAAATGATCGATGGTGGCTCTTACATGTTTTATTTAAGTCGGAACCCGATTTCGAACCCACCCGAAAGGACGGTTACGACAATTCATGTTAAAATAATAATTTTATGATAATTTAATACATTTAATAATTATTTTACAGCGTTTAAATTTTAAAAATCAAAACAATCAGTGACCCGATCCATAGTTTACCCTATCGAAAACAGCCAAAACCAAAATTCCTGCTGGTAATCACCAATCAGTAGTAATCGCCACGGAAAGTACGAATAAACAATAATAGCAAAAAAACATGTTTTTTTTACAAAATATTAGAAAAAGGGGAAAATACGCTGTATCGGTATCACTTCCCCCAATTTTCTATAATTAATTATCCAGGCGATGAGATGAGAAAGAAGCAATCTGGACCTGGCGATGGCGTTTCATTTCGGATCTTTCTAGGACTCCCCGGTAATCTTACCAGAACCCGCTAACCCTCAGCGTCGGCTTTTGGACCGGTGTTTCCTCTTCTCCCCCTCGGGCTACGGTTTCTGCTAAGGTCACCTCGATGGTGACCAATAATTTATCACCATGAACGGGAACGGGTTTAGTAAGATGGAAGAAGAGTTCATCAAGAGGCACCACAAATTCGAGGTTAAAGAAAATCAGTGCAGCTCTGCGCTCGTGAAGCACATCAAAGCTCCTGTTCATCTCGTATGGTTTTCCTATTTCTTTTTCCTTTTTGTTAAAGAAAATCAGGCTAATAGAACCGATTGGGGTTTTACTGAGTGCTAGGTTCATACATAGATCTGAGAATGTTTTTGGCTGAATTCAGTAAATTTTGGTTTTAGATGTCTATTTTAAATAGCTTAGCTTAACTTTTAGGCGACGTGTTATTGTTGGGATTTTTCCCTCTAAACTTTTTTTTCATTGCATGTGGATTCAATATACGAGGAGTCCGATTATAAGTGGGGATTTGTTAGAATTTCGAATTTTTCATTGAAAATTGAAGCTAGATTAATGGTTCGTTGAATGTTATGTGATATTAAACATTTCTGAAGCGATGGGCATTAGAAATAAACCTTGGGCTATATGAATCGTGTATTATTTTAGAGTTGCAATGTAGAACATTAACAACTTCCATTTAGACTGTGTTTAATTTGACATCCCATATCCAACCTAAATCTTGTGTAGTTACAAATGAAATTACTTTCAGATTAAGTTTGAGGTTTTACCTCACTTTCAGATTAATGAATGAGGTTTTTGATCAATCAGGTCTGGTCATTAGTAAGGAGGTTCGATCAACCACAGAAGTACAAACCATTTGTTAGTATGTGTGTTGTGCAAGGGGACCTTCAAATTGGAAGCGTTAGAGAAGTCAATGTTAAGTGAGGTAGGCCACAACTAGCACTGAAAGGTTAGAGTATCTGGATGACGATGAGCATATTTCGAGTATGACGATTGTTGGAGGAGATCACAGGTTGAAGGTATGAATTTTCTAATTGGTTGAATTAATTACACACCTCACACATAATTGTAAATGCATTGAACTCCAATAAATTTAAGTTTTTCATCATATTGTCTTGACTGAAATATAAGTATTCATCTAAAGTAACTTTTCCCTCCTCTTATTATATAATTTGATAATTTCCTGTAGGATTATGAAATGCATAAATTACTTGAAAATATAACAAGGTTTTGGATATGGTAGCTTGCAACATGCGAGGTGGAGCATTGCCTACGCTAACTTTTTTTCCGATGAATATAATAAGTTAACTTTTTGTAATCAGTCATCTGATAATGTCTGTGACTTGAGTATGAATTGTTAAAATGGTCAAATTCATTGAGCATTTTAGAAGAATTGTCGCGTTTGAGATGGAACATAGCCCTGCAAAACTGGAAATCAGAGTTGTAAAACTGGGGGATATATATCCCTATAAATTGACTAGTAAAATATCTTTCTGCTGAATTTGACTAGTGGAATGAATTTGCTCTGTAATTGCCCTCTGTCTAGGGCAATTTATATGCGTTATGTTGCCTTTTCATCTATCCAAACTATTATGGTTTCTTGTGCTACTAGCACATGACCTGGACCACTTCTTTTTGCGGCTGCCCATAGTTTTCTTTTCCTGGTTTCTTTTCATTTATGTGGAATATTTTTATTTGATACACATACATGAGCAATCAATGTTGTTTATCATGTCATTGAAGATGCGCTTCAGTTCTGTGATATGTTGTTCTGCCACCTTTTCATATTTGAATTTATGAGAATTATATTGTTCCAATTCTGCATCGACCTCCCTATTTTTCTTTATAATTCAATCCTGTACTTTGGTTATGGTCTAATTTGATGAAACTGCAGAACTATTCATCCATTGTAACGGTCCATCCTGAGGTCATTGGTGGCAGAACAGGAACGTTGGTGATTGAGTCTTTTGTGGTGGATGCAATGTACCAGATGGGAACACCAATGATGAAACAAGCTACTTTGTTGAGGCACTGATCAAGTGCAACCTCAAGTCACTGGCTTATGTTTCAGAGCATTTGGCTGTTCAGGATCGCACTGAGCCAATTGAAAGAATGTGAATAGTCGGGGCTGAACTCGTATCATTAGAAGCTGAATAGATAATTCAGGCTACCTTCGGTTTGAGTCAAATCTATTTCCTTATACTTTATGCATCATTTTACCAGAACATTATCTTTAGGTGTGTTGTGTCGATAATAGCATACAATTCAGCTCCATCCTCGGTCTACAACGGATTTCCAAAATGAAGAAACAATTCAGAAATTTCTCTGTTTAATAATATGGTGTTGTATTGGTATCTGGATGTATATATCTGTACGGTAGGAAGTTGATATTCATACTATTAGTTTTGCATGTATAAACCATTCTGCGTTTGGTGGACATATTATATGTTGGTACATGATCTTATTTACTCATTTCCAAAATAATATGTTACACTCCTTATTTTGTATTACTATGTAAAAAATAGTGTATTACTTTATCAGTCAACATGTTAACATCCACCTTAGATGACCGTTAATTTTTAACATAAAAGAACGAGTCTAAAACATAATGAATAGAACAAGTTCAAAATATAATGAATAGTCGGGTGATAATTTTATAACTTTTAATAGTCATGGTACTCGACAAACAATATTATATAGTTAGAGGTCTATTTTATAAATTTTAATAGTAAAAAAGAATCAATAAAGGAGTATCCAATAGTTGAGTACTTTACCCAAAAAAATAATTGAAATTAAAGTTATAAATATATAATTTTATCAATTCAAAATTATATATAATAATATTACAAGTTTAATTGAAACTTATACTAATTTTAAAATTAGTCTGTTATTTTTTAATTTCCATATAAATCTAGAAAAAGGGACGTGTTACAAAGGAAAATACCATATTATTGATCATCGAAGGACGCCATGTTATTTACAACCGATAATGAACTAGTTTAAACACAGCCAAGCAAGAAAAAAAGTTTAGATGGCATGACTTTGATTAAATGGCGTGTATGATACCTTCAAAACTTAATCAAAAACTTGCGAATCCTCTTCACGAACCCTCCCTCGCGCCTTTCATCTTCCTCTCCTCGGCGATGATGGCGACGGGTGTGGTGGTGTTCGTCGTCGTGATCTTGTTCACGTTCTTTGTTATAGTGATGAGGCTTCCTAAAGTACTCTACATGCTCCTTCGACTCGGCGCTGTTGTCGGAAAACCTAGCCCGTCTCGCCTGGATATGGGGACCAAGGCGACGTGACTGATCGGTTTTAAAACCAGTTCTCTCGTCGGGCAGAACCATATCGTTGCCATAAGAAATATAGCGCTTGCGCTGGAGCCGCGGGTTCGAAGGCCTGAACTTTTTGTGGAAATGGCAGTCGTGTTTATGACGGAACGGAACCAACGGATGCCTGGGGAACTGACCGTTTACGGGACGGAAACTGGTCATCGTCAACGGGAAAGAATCCAAGTCGGAGTCGGCTCCCAAGGTTTCATAAAGCTTAATATCAACTGTTTTGGCGGGTTCAGAGTCGCGTTTCTCGCCAGGGACATCGATGACGTTTGTGATTTTATGGCCGGGTTCAGGTAAATCGGTGTCTTCCTGGCTGACGGTCTGTTCCGGTAGAATAAAGCGGGCGCCTGTGACGGTCAAGACGAGAAAAACAACAGTGAACAAAACAACGAGTGGAGCCATTATAGTTAGCGAATTTAACTTTAAAGAAATTATGATTATTATATGAGGTGGGAGGCGAGGTAATGGCGGAAGCGGGCAATGGGGTTGACCGAACACCTGGTTTTAGCATTTTAGGATTGCAGAAAGAGGAATGTTTGAAACAGTCGCATGCCACAAAATAATGTTTTTGACTTTCAACTTCTGTCCGACCATGGTCGCTCAGTTTCATACTGAAAAGTATATACAGGAGAATTTAACAAAGCACTAACTTAACTCATCCAGAGCCAGAGGTCTTATATCAGTATAATTAAGTTTTTATTGGTAAACTTATATCATTAAGCAATAGTATCATATTTCATTACTGATTTTTTGTTACACATACATGATACATTACATATTGAAACATCAAGACACAGAGAGAGATCTTTAATTATTCTTTTGTTCATTCCTTCCCATGGCGATTTTATTTTATATCGTCTGGCTTTTATATCGCCAACATCTTCACCATGTTTGCATATAGTTCCATCATAATACCTTGCTTACGCAGACCTGTAAACCAACCCAAATAGAGAAAACAAATAGTAATCATTAACAAAGAAAACCTGATCAGCTGAAGAACAATGTAGGTTAATATGATTCGTTTATATGTTCTAGGAAAGTAAGATCATTACCGTCCTCTTCCGGTGACCTTCGTCATCACTGTCGCTTTCGCTGTCACTGCTGCTGTTATTACCTGAAAGGCCATTCTTTATCTTCCCTATCAGACCCTTAACCGCCTGGGTGCCTTTCCCGACGAGGCGTCCACGGCCTCCGCTGTTGTAGTGCGACTGTTTGGAATAGTAAACTTCGCTACGATACTCGCAAGTTTCGTTTTCGGTCATTCTATAGGTCATGTTTCCGCCGTGGCCATATGTTTGGGGCTTCCTGTACCCGTTTCCGTGGCCTGACAGTTTGCCGCCGTGTTGCGGCGGGCTATGCTGCATTCCATGGTTATTGAACTTCCCATGGCCGTTGGTTCCGTCATGGCCATAGCCATAACCAGGCTTGGTCTGATGATGATGACCGTGGATTTGAGGTTTCGACATTGCATTTCCGTGGGTGCCATGAGATTTGCCATATCCGTAAGCGGTGTGGGATTCGCTCATTCCATAGGTGGGGCAGCGGATTTGGGCATGGCGTTCGTGTTCACTGTAAGACATTGAATAGCCATTCTGGCATTGGTTCGACTGGGATCCCCAACCGGAACCGCCGCCATAATATCCTTGGCCCAAGCCTTTCTCGGTGGTCTTGTGGCACTGCAAAGAACCCATTGCTGCAATAATCTCTGGAACTCTCTTAGTTTGATATTGCTTGATGACCAACTTGTGCGGAGCACAGTATATATATAGGCATGGTGGATTGGATTCTCTTTCTTAATGGATTACTCCTTATTTATTTATTTATTTATTTATTAGTGGGCATCTAACCACTTTTCTCTGAAAAGAATCTCATTCTCAATGGACGATATGCTATTGATCGAAAGAGAGAATCGACAATTATGTAAGTCATGGAGTCACCGGCCCAGGTTCAACCTTATAGTAATCCCTGTGTTGTTCCCTAATAAGGCTTTAACATTTTTATTAAGTGCATTCTTCTGGTGATAAATCAATTGAATATTCCTTTTGATTGTGTTGTATATATTTATTTAATAATATCTTCAAGTTTATGAATATATTCCTATATATCATTGAAAGTTTTGGAGTCACTCTTTTGATAGTGGCAAAATTTTTATATTTTTTTTCTTTTTCCACTATTTTATCTTTAACGTTGTGTTGTGAATTATCTTTAACATTGTGCTGCCTCTAAATCTGAGGGGAGAAGCGAGAGTTTATTTACTGACAGTAGGAATTGGCAGGTGATCAGTAGTAGGAGGATATGGGACAAGGTGAGAAATAGGAGGAAGAAGGTGAAGTGGCATAAGCTTATCTAATTTCCTTCTCATATTTCTAAGCTTTCTATTATTGTTTGGATGATTCTCTTAGATGGACTGTCGACTAAAGATAAGCTTGGGCGGTTTGGCATTTCTACTTATGTGTTGTGTGGTCTTTGCGGAGTTGAGGGGGGAGACGAGATATTTTTTGTTTTCTTCTTGTTCTTATTCTTGTGGCATTTGGGATGAGCGGAATTACAGGCGTTTTAGGGGCTTCTCGTTCTGTTGATACAATAGTGAATTGTGTAAAGGAGTTTGCCCCATTCATATTGTATAGATCTTGTATAGATAAGAATGATATGATGACTGGGAGGTTGTGTATTAAGTGGGAATTCTTTAATTGTGTGGTTTCTGACCTTGGTTGTGTTTGTTGTAGCAGCTGCTATTCTCTTGTATAATGAATTTCTTGACTTATCCAAAATAAAAAAATAAAATTCATTTATTTGATAACAAGTTTTAAGATTAATTCCCAACATATTATGTATTATTTGTTGATCACCGATGCATATTTATCGGCTTCAACATACAAGCAACAACAATCAACAATTAAGAGAGACGACCACGGCAAGTCGCCTTCCACATTTAACACTATCGTCCAATATGTTCTCCATGTCGTATTTGTACACGAAACCCATCTTCACCAACTTACTCTTGTCCCATGCAATGCCTTCCTTTTCCTCCCCCATCAGCCTGTAAAATCCATTACGATTCAATCAATATGATATAACTTACGTATTAATATTATAGAGATTACTTACTCTTGTGGTATCTGGTGCTGTGGATAATTGTCTCGAAAATGAGCTGCGATTTGTGTGATGGTCGGATTTGCAGCGGCGCAAATGAACCGGCCAGCCATGGAAGGTTTCTCCATTCAGAACACATGAGCTTCACAAACGTCGTCGATGTGAACAATAGGGATCGATCCCAGGAGTTGTTCCATATATTCTAACGCCACGAAAGTGGATAAGTTCCCGATGAGCTGCGAAATCATGACAGCCATACTTGATGGCACGAAGGAAAGAAGAGTCTCTCCTCCAACGAGCCCACAAGCTAGACTCAGGACTTCTAGCTTGCCGCCGTTAGTGTTAGCTTCGCCGTTATACCTCAATGCCTCCTTCTCCGCCAAGGTTTTTGATACGGTATACGTCTATAACATCACAGGAAATTAAAAGTTTTGTTAACCTGAGAATTAGTGTGATTTTTAGTGGAAAAGTGAACAGAAAAAATTTACTGATCCGCAGATACTGAAGGCCATGAGTGGATGCAACATCAAAATGCCTCCAATACGATTCGTTTACGCAAGAGTTGACGTTGAACCCATCTTTCGTCAATGGCGATGCTCCTAGAACTGAAGCCGTGTAGATGATTCGTTTTACGGCCGGCGATTGTAGGCATGACTCGGCGATGCTTCTCACACCTGAAATCGCTGCTTTGATGATTTCCTGCATATGTAATAATAATTTTCAAAGGTTATCTATCTAACTAGATGAAAAAGGAGAAAGACGAATCAATAAACCTGCGAGCTTTGAGTATCTGTTGTTTGCATGGGAGTAGCCACGTGAAACACAAATTCACACCCTTGGATTGCATGTTTGAACTCATGGGGATTGTATATATCAGATTGAAACAAAACCAGATTGGTGGCTGCACCAGGCAGGGACTTTAGAAACCCTACTTTGGATTCATCATCTGCAATTCAAACTATCATCAGAAATTTCATTAACTGTAAGAAAAGAAAAGAAAAAACACATAAATATAGAGAGATGAAAGAGAGAGAGAGAACCCAAGTTTCGTATCGTTGCATGAACCGTGTAGCCTTTTTCGAGGAGCTTCTTAACGAGCCAATAACCTAAATAGCCAGAACCTCCAGTCACGCAGCAGATCTTGCTTGTTTCTTGCTTCTCCATGGATAATATCTTGTTTAATTTCTTCAGGCCATAGTTATAATCATAGAAGAAGATGTGCCAAGTTAATTATCTTTTGTACCTCATCAGATGTCAATTAGACATTGTCAACGAGACATTGTCAACGAAACCATTATATTAAGAATAATATAAGATAAATCCCACACTCAAAGTCAGTCGACCGTTCAGATAAATCATCGGTGTGTTCGATTATGATTTATTATCGGTATATATACACAATTTTGTTTGATGTTAAATTCTTAGACGTTGAAGTTTGAACCCTTTTCCATTCTTCCAAAGAATGACTGTGACTTACATTACATACAATTTATAGACTATACGTTATATATTTACATTAAAATTATTGACACTATGACTTACTAAAGCATTGACTTAATGTATTATTAAAATATATAAAATACAATTGAAAGGTGTATAACATCACGAAATTAATGGAAATTATATTCTACATTCTGTAATCTTGTAAACATCGTAGTTTTAATGTGAAAATTTTGATCACGCTTTTTTATACATTATTTTATAACTGTTAGGAATTGTCTGTCCAACTCAGTTGGTAGAGTACAAGGCTCTTAACCTTGTGGTTGTGGGATCGAGTCCCACGGTGGACAATTCATAATTGCTGGAGGTCTTCCACGGAAGTTGCTCTCAACCTAGCGTTAGGGGCATCTTACTACCCTACCTCCTCCTTACCCCATTACATATGGGAATAGGGTCAGCTAATTTTATAACTGTTAGCTTGATTTTTTTTTCATTTTTAATTAATCAAATGAATATGTTTACTTTAATTATTTTGTTATTAAAACATGAAAAAACTATTAGTATAATTTTTGATAAAAATTGGATACTACTTACTTTAAATTTTTGCTTCTTCTAATCGTGCCCACCAGCAACATTCATCTTTAGATTGGATTTCAACTTCACGACGAATGATATCCAATTCAAGGCTCAACTTCACAACGAATGGGCCATCTACGATTTCAACTTAACGACGAAGGATATCGTGCCCACTAGCAACATTCATCTTTAGATTGGATTTCAACTTCAAGACGAAGGATATTCAATTCAAGTCTCAACTTCACAACGAAGTGGCCATTTACGATTTCAACTTCACAACGAAGGATATCATGCCCACAAGCAACATTCATTTCTAGATCGGATTTCAAGTTCACAACGAAGGATATCCAATTCAAAACTCAACTTCACAGCGAATGAGCTTTCTAGTTTCATTCAGAGTCAATTTCAACTTCACGGTGAAGGATATTGGACTCAAAACAATGCAACTTATACAAGATTGGATTTCAACTTCACGACGAAGGATATCCAATTCAAGGCTCAACTTCATGACGAATGAGCTATCTACGATTTCAATTTCACGGTTGAAAGCATCTCCAAAAACTTGTTGATAAAATCTTTGTTCATTGGATCACTTAATTGTCAAGCTTGAAAATGTTTGCACTAGAGCCATGGGGTTTATGTGGAATTATATTACACTTTTGCTGAGGTATAATTAGGGTTGGGCATGGTACTCGAACTCGACGGGTTTTGATCTGACCTGATCTGATCGGGTTAAGTTTTTTTTTAATTTTCTGGTTCAGGTTGGGTCGGGTTTTTTAAAGGTGATGTTTGGATCAGATCGGATTCAAGTTTAGGGTAAAAAATACCCGAACAGGCCCGACCCAAATTTTTTTTACCTTATATATTTAGTAATAATTACTATAATACCCTTCTATATATGTCTTTTTTAATTAAATCACTGTTTTTATTTAATAAAAATAATATTTTTATTATTTTAAGTCTGGTCGGATAGAAATCGAATTTTATCTAAAAAAATTGGATTAGATTCAAGTCAAATCGTTAGGTGTAATATATGAAATTTTCGGATCGAGTCGGGTTCGCCGAACCCTACCCATGCCCATGCCCACCCTGGACAAATGTAAACCCACTGCGCGAAGTGTTAGTGGATCGAATTTAAATAATAAAAAAGAAACCCTTTAATTTGTCTAATCTGGAAGTTCCACATTGAAGACCCAACAAACACGTACGAATTTAGTTCATAAAGTTGAATTCCGTTCAAATTCATTGAATATGTCTGTCATATTCAGAGAGGATGACCAATTCCTTCCGCCAATAGCCCTTCGCGAGGGAAACTAACCAGCTTTTATAATATTTTAATTGTTTTGTTTACTATTTTTTAATTTGATGATTTAACCTTGACATTATTTTACATTTTTTTCACTTAATCATTAAATAATGAATGAAATTATACAAGACATTTAACTTTTAAAATTTGCGATAAAATCGTTATACATTCAACTTATAAAAATATTTCTGAAATATTTCTCATCACAATTTATCTTAATTTTTTTTATTTCTTTTAAATTTAATCATTTTTTTTCAAATCATAACAATAGAGAGATAAAAAAGGAGTCGA